TTTTTTTTTTTTTTTTAAACACATTGCAGTCAGAAATCCAGATCTCACTTCACATAATAAAAGTCAGTAAGCACACTAGGGCAGTGGTTTACAAAGTGTGAGGTATGCCCCCCTGGGGGGAACGCGAGGACCAAGCACCCAAGTTTGGGGTTCAAGATGCAGGAGTTTGTTGATATAAGCTAGAGCAATTGCAGTCATGGAGTAAAGTAACAGACATTTAGCAGTGTGAATACCAAGGCAGCCAAAGCATCATATTGTGTTGTGTTACACATGATCTGTTTTCATGATATCCTCTGAGGGGAAGCTCACTTTCTCACACTTTGAAAACCCCTGCTCTAGTGTAATGATACAGTATAGCACATACAGTCACGGCCAAAAATATCGGCACCTTTGCATTTCTGTCGAATAACTTGCCATTTTTCCCAGAAAATTGTTGCAATCATAAATTCTTTATTACCAGCACCTGTTGATTGCCACAGGTGAGGTTCATTACAAATTAAAGCAGCATCACATGTTTCAAATACAACTATTTGATGATTTTGAAAAGGTGTCAATAATTCTGTCCAGTTCATTTTTGGAGTTCTATGTGGAATGGATCAGATTTAGCTTTTTTCAGCTGGTTTGTGTTGTTCCAATGCAAGCAAAAGAAATAAGCATTGGAATACCAAAGAATGTGTGATTACAACAATTTTCTAGAAGAAGTGGTGTGTTATCTGACAGAAATGCCGGTGTGCCAATATTTTTGGCCATGGCTGTATGTGCTATGTCATGACTGTAGATCCCTGCACATTCCCAGTCTCCCATTCACTAAACAGACAGAGCTAAAATAATTAGCAACACTGTTCCATAAATCCAAGAACAAGGATTACCCCCCCAACCTTTAGAGGAGGTGGACGGCTGGGCAGAGTCCTTATTGCCGTTGGTGATGCTGTTAACCTCTTCTGGGTTACTCTGAGGGAGTGGAGCTTTGTCGGGAGCCTCGCCTACCACCTCGAATTCCACATCTCGCTCTAGTTCCTCACTGCCATCGAAGACAGACACCACAACATGATATTTTCAGGTTCACTCACTGGAGCACCATCATTAAAACAAAATATATGGGCACATTGAACCTTACACAGTGCATTCAAATAATCCATATATACCAAGGAACATACATGTGAATGACGCTGATGAGGAGTGTGTAGTCTTGTAGGAAGTCATCGGCTTGCAGACGACTTCCATTGCGGATCCCAAAGTCGGCAAGAAATTTGCTGTTGTTGGCTGTTAAAACAGGATGGGCATTACATACACACAAATACACGCCTGTAGTACCATACATGTATGGACAATGCTCTTTTATTCCCGCTCCTTAGCACCTACTCATATACACCAAATTCCAAGTGTGACTGTAAACTACAAAACATATTAAAATACATAGTAAGTGATATTTATATACATTTAGGTACTCTGGTATAATTAACTCTGCATTATATCATTCACATTTCATCACATAACATATCCTCTGAGCAGTGAACAAGATGCTCTGATCTGCACAATAATCAACAAATGTTAATAGAGCGCTCACTTCTGTGAGCAATCAGTTTTTTTTTTTAGAATTACTATCATCGCTAACATTACCGTCATCCTCTTATTCCCTCCTCTTGCCTGCCCTCTACCTTTCTGTCTCAAGCCTCCTGCTATTCATCCTGTGCTTCTTCCTGCCACCTTTCTCTCTCACTCTTCTCAGAGATATGAGCACAACTGTTTCTTCTCTTCCTACCTTCTGCCTCACGGTCCATCTCCTCTAGTGGTTTACTGATATGGGTTTTTCAACGGCCAATGCCAATGGCAAATTTATTTATTTATTTATTTATTTTGAGAGCGGAGAGGTGCAGAGATGTTTCCCCTCTTTTAGCATCAGATAAAAAAAAAAACAATTTAATAACAAATAAGAGGCATTTGCTACAATCTGCACATACCTTATTATTTAAAAATTAAAAAATACTCAAATCATCAAAATATCAAACTTTAATAAACCTTTATCAATAAAAATAAAACATTTAAGCAGGGCTCTAGATAAACATTCCACACCAGTGGCACCAACTCTGTCTTATAATGTGATGCAAAAGAATCTGTATTTTTCACAATTATTTTAAACGCCCTTACCATTCAATGTGGATTTCTTATATTTACAATGACATTCAGACAGAGGGAGACTTATGGGACACAATAAATAGGAAAACCACTTCTGGAACAAGGTTCTACCTCTTTTTATGCAGTCACCGTGGTGCTCTACACTATAAACCCAGAATTGGTTTTAAATAAACCTCCAAGTGGGTCATTAATTATTCTTTAGTAAAAAATTTTCTCCTTACTAGATCAGATTAGTGGTTTTCACTACTCAGCTGAAATGTTCGATGCAATGATCATGTTAAGCAGAGATAACTTAGTATGTTAGGTTTCTGTAGGGGAGGGGCCATTCGAACAGGTAGCTATTCTATTTCAACTGAGGTATAAACTGATGAACTGTGTGCATACATAGCCGTTTGAGTACATGATGCATTTGTAGCCCTGAAGAAGAATTTCTGCTCTTTGCTGGTGTCTGTGTTGGACTTCATGTACAGTTCAGCTAGTGCCGCTCATTTCTGGGCCAAAGTCACTAGAAGCCTACTAATTAAAGGACTGATGGTGGGTTTCAGTGACTACTATCTTCAAACTGGGACATCACTAGATGTGAGCAGTGTGTATGAGCGACTTTAGTGTTTGACAATGCTCTTTTATTCCCGCTCCTTAGCACCTACTCATATACACCAAATTCCAGTGTCTGGCTCCCTGTAAAATCCGGAATAGACTTTAAAATTCTTCTACTAACATACAAAGCCCTTAATGACAAGGCTCCATCGTTTATCGTATCTTAAAGACCTCGTAGAGCCTTATCATCCTAACAGAGCACTTCGCTCTCACAGTGCAGGTTTACTTGTGGTTCCTAGAGTCCACAGAAGTAGAATGGGAGGCAGAGCCTTTAGCTATCAAGCTCCTCTCCTATGGAACCAACTCCCAGTCTCAGTTTGGGAGGCGGACACCCTCTCTACCTTTAAGATTAGACTTAAGACTTTCCTTTTTGATAAAGCTTATAGTTAGGGCTGGATCAGGTGACCCTGAGCCTTCCCTTAGTTATGCTGCTATAGGCCTAGGCTGCTGGGGGGCCCCATGATGCTCTGAGTTTCTCTCTTCCTCCCCTTTTCTCTCTCTGTGCTTCTATATGCCACCACTACACATCACTAACTTTGTGTCTCCTCTCTCTCTCTCTCTCTCTGTACCTTTCTGCAGGTTGCCCTGGCCCTGGAGCTCTACGTCTCTGATGAGTAGTCACTGGCCACATCAACCTGACCAGTGTTTGATTGTTTGTTGTGTCTTGTTGCTTTTCTTTTGTCTCTCTACTATCCACTCACCCCAACCAGTCGAGGCAGAAGGCCGGGATCTATCGGAGGTTTCTTCCATTAAAGGGAATTTTTTTCCTCCCCGCTGTCGCCAAGTGCTTGCTCAAGGGGGATTTGTTGGGTTTTCCTCTACAATAATAGTAAGGTCTCTAGACCTTAATTTGTAAAGTGTCCTGAGACGACTTTTGTTGTGATTTGGCGCTATACAAATAAAATCTGAATTGAATTGAATTAAACAGACTAACACAGGTGATCTATCTGATTTAAGCAGCTGTCTGTGCTGATTATACTTGCACCAAAATAAAAAATAGACTTGAAGCTTAAAAAAACGGGTCCAGGGATGAAGCGCATCTCTTAGTCAGTGTGGATCAACACATTTAATAGATTGAAGTCTCTGCTTTGTGAGAGGGGCGAGCAACAGACCTGCAGATTGTTGATGAGAGTATCGCAGAGATTGTTACATCTGTCCACCATTCCTACAGTGAGAGCAGTCGCTCGTGCATAGCCTGTTTATTTTGCAGTTGTGCAACCTTTGAAAGTCACTCGCACCTCAAATAAATTTGGTCACAAATGCGACCGATCGCTCGCAGTCTGGAGCTCTGTATTAGTGTAATTAACAGCTGCATTTTCCTGAGACAACATACATTTATAAATACTTGCACTGCACACTGTTTTAGCACCCACATTTGTCTGCAGACACAATGGCCGATCAGAGTTATAGGCCGATGCCAATCATGTAAAAATGCAAAGTCGGCCCAATTAATCTGTCAACCACTCATCTTCTCTTGTCCTCATGCTCCCCTCTATATTCAAACAACCTTTTTAAGTTCCATTAGCTTAAGTTAAGAAAAAATTCTTACAGAGATAGTAAAATGTAAACATCTAAACACCTTTACCTTCTGTCTCTCCTTCCTCAGAGGAGATGAGGATGGTCCCTTTCCCATCTTCTATCTGAACATCTGGAGCCACCATGCCAAACCTCTCCTTCAGAATCTGAATGTGAATACAGAAAACATCAAATCAAATACACGAGGCAACAGTAAACATCTCACCATTTCCAATCCAGCAGCAACAATCCCAGACCCACCAGTGGTGTAGTGTACTGTAGTTTATAAGAAAAACTGTCCCATTACGACAGTTACGCAGTATGTCAAAATCAGATTAGTGGTGTTCAACATCATCACATTCACTGGGATAGAGGAATGTTCACTTATAGGCTCAGTTTGGTCAACATGCAGAAACCAGGTTAATGTATTACCCTGTCCTGCAGAGAAAGAACCGTGGTTTTGTGGACATTGAGTTTGACTGTGACTTCAGGCTTGCTAGCGCAGACATAGCAGCTGGTGCTAGGTGGGTCCAGGACACATGGGACCAGCAGCTTCTTCCTGAGGTTTGGACACTTGTTTAGGAAGATCTAGAGAAGAGACAAATGAAGGACAGTTTGATAGGTTAAACAATGGTGCTGTCAGAAAGGATGCTACTCCAAACCCAGTTATTGTGTGGATGTTGTAACAGCAGCATCCACACTATGTTTTCCTGTTCTTTATTTCTATTTTCTTCAATCTGTTTTTCGGCACTTACCTACTCCAGCATACCTTCAGCTAGGAGAACCATTCAAATATCAAAATATTCAGCTCTTTAAAGACATGTGCTTGTATTATTCTTATTTGTAACATTTATACTTTTTTAAATATTAAGTTTTTTCAGCAAATTTTGCCAGATCAAATGAATGGGACAATTTTTCACATCTTAACTTCAGCATACACCGAGCTAGAAACATTTATATTAACAATTATATTTTATTTTTCATTTCAATAACCACACTCCAGTAGTCCTCAGGGGGTACTATTACTCACACACTCACACACACATCTCCCTACTTTGTGGGGACCAATGGGAAAATTTTCACATCTTAATAGTTCAGCATACTTTCAGCTAGAAAAGTCATTCAGGTGTGCAAATGTTCAGCATTTTCAGGGCAATCCATTCCTGCTTGCATTTATTGCATCTCATCCATCAGATTATTCAACAAAGAACTTCAGCCATTTCTTCTCATCCTACAGCTGTTTCAGCAATTGCTTTCAGACATTTTCAGGGTGACCCTTCAGCTCATTGGCATCCACACATTTTCAACAGGAAATGTATTTTTGTGGTATTTATCATTACTCTCAACTTAGATGAAGATCAGATCACATTTTATGACAAATTAATCCAGCATTTTCAGGGCAATCCTTCAGCATATCTGCATCCACGCGCATTTTCGACAGGAAACACATTTCTCTAGTTCTAGTATGGGTTTTGGGTGGAACAATTCAATTAAGGTTGTGCCAAGTTAAGATGGCTGGCTTATTCTGTTATTAACATAGTTCCTATGGCACTCTGCAAAATATTTCACCTTTTATTGTCTGATTTTACACCGGAGGAGGCAGCTGGCCACTGTATGCTGCCATACAGCATATTCTCTCTCTCTATATATATATTTTCATTGCGCAAGAGCACAAAGCAAATGTACAGCAATAAAAACATAGTAATACAATATCAGTTAAGAACACTCAAAAACACACAGAAGCCAAATGGATATCCAGCGTCTGATATAGGCCAACTCCCACCCAGCCGGCTCTCCCACCGGGGGCTTAACCGTGGTGGCCCAGAGGAGCAATACACACACTAATATATTAAAACTAGTTAAGAAATAAATTATTAAAGGTGACGAAAATCGGTGAACACGCTAAACATTAAAAGCTTGTTTGAAAAGATGCGTTTTTAACACTGACTTAAACGCTGCCGGCTCAATATTATACTTGCAACCCTTACATGAGGTCTACAGTACAGGAAAATGTATCGAATACATTTCGCGATACAAAAACATCATGAAATGTATCACTTTGTCTAGCGATATACATTGTGTGGTCTTCAAATATCAGCAGCATCATATTTTTGTAAATACGATAGCCTAACAGAATCAGAATCACATTTATTGACCAAGTATGTTTAAACACAAGGAATTTGACTCCCATACAGAATACAAGTCAATATAGCCACCATTAACATACATTTTCCATTGCCTACTCCACAATTTGTACTGCAGAGGGTGTAGTCACCTTTGTTATACAAAGTGATCTCCTGGAGCCTACACTTCTAAAGATGGTGGCGGCAGGGGGCGACATCGCTAATACAGAGATAGAAAAAGCACCACCAGCATTGAAGTCATGGGTATGGCAGTATTTCAGCTTTCCAGTTAAATGAGGAGAAAATGAAAGAGTTGCTGACAAGACAAAGGCAATCTACAAATTGCACAAGACATAATGCACTACACAACAGCTAACGCAACCAATGTGAGCACTCATCTCCACCACTACTATACAGACACAGCAAAGAGAAAAAAAACTGCCACGAGACCAGACAATTTTTTAGCCCTCTCCGACAAACCAGTGTGCAAGCTAAAGAAATAACCGACCTACAGTCATTTTTCATAGTCAAATAAATCTATTCCTGAGCTATTCCTACAACTTCAGCTACTATCAAACATGTCTTTTCCGCTGCCTGAGACATTGGTAGCTCCATATCTACTATATGCTGCTACAGATAAAAAAAAAAAGCTTCCTTAATTTCCTGGATTTAGAATTCTTCAGTGAGCTCATTTGTGGAGTCACTCCTTTGGCCCTGCACTGAAAGCAACCTTGCTTGACAGCTCGTAATCAAGGTAAACTGACTGTTCAAGAATTCAGCCTAGTGGTTTTGTTGATCTTGCACAGGATCAGTTTAAATATACAGTAGTAACAGGCAGCTATACTTTCAAGCAGTTTGGTTTATTTGTTGGTCATTTTAGGTTACCGTTTTAATTTGAGATTACATTTCTTTATTTTGGTATCGTACTGCGAATCCACATTAAAAGTGGCACCTAAGTATTACTAAAGTGCTCAGCCCATTTCAATCCATACCAGCCCCATCTCTGGAGGATTACACCTCACTAAAACAAGAGTGATGTGCATTTCAGCGCTTGTCCCTGAGTCAAGGACATTTCAGACACTTAGTTTAAACACTTCCATTTAATATAAACAGAAGTGTGTCTGATTAATGAGACGGAGAAGTGACAGAAATGCTATCAGCGTTGATTAGCCATTAGTCACAAAGAATGTACTAATGGCTGTTTAACTGGTCACACATATACAAACAAAAAAACTTCCTTGATCCTTAGCCCAAATCAAGTCTGACAGTTATGGCCACCTGGTTTTAGCAGAACTTACCGTGCAACAGGATTCCAGTTCCCCCGACAGGATCTTGAGCCCCTCCAGCACGATGAGGCCAGCAATGATAGCGTTGGTTGTAGCAATAGCTGGGATGATGTTTCCTGCCATGGCTGAAACAATCAAATCTAATTATTCATCCTCTTGAGTAGAAAAATTCATCTGAGAGTAGATATATGCTACTTTGTAACAGAATGGAATACAATTAAGTAATTTAGATCTTGTACAGCAGCATATTCTAGCACAGTAGTATGTTTCCAATGTAACCTATTCTCTGTTGAAAATGTGACATGCAACCAGCTTACACTTTACGTCGAAGCGGCTCTTCATGTTCATGCTAAAGATGTGCATACGTAGGTTTGCTGCTGCAGTAACAAAGTCCATGGCTGGGGGGTCATCCTGACAACAAGAAGGGCAGACAAGGCATTAAACTGACACGTGCCAGTCACACATGTGGCTGTGTATCCTCTACAAAGGGACCTCAAACATGAAGCTTGTTTCTTTTTACAATTTTTACAATTAAAAGACAAATATATATGCACCCCCCTGTGTTTTCTGGAGGTTTAGTCAGCAGTTTTATTATATTTAGATGTTTACAGCCAGTATGTCATCATTCCCTCTGTTTACTGGTTTGTGTTTGGAAGGGTAGAGAAGCATTATTAGATGAGTTTGTAAGATGGACAATATATCCTTCCATATGGAAAAGAGTCAAGAGTCCAACAATGTTTTTTTAGGTATGACACTGTACAAGAGACATCAAAGAAAGTAATAATACTTAGGAAACCAAGTGAGAATTTTTTTTTTTTTTTTACTTCCGCCCAGTTATTATGCTACTTCTTTTAAAAAGAAGTCAGCTGTGCAGACTTGAGAGTTTGTAGTGATGAAAACAACTTTTAAAAAGTCAGCTGATTATGTTGGAAAGAGCATCAATATCCTGAGCACTGGCTGATGGAAGCATACAAAAAACGGTTTTGGACAAATTGAGAGAGGCTCTTTTTCAAAAACCAGTGAGAAAGGATCATTCTCAGGCTGTCAGCTGCCTTGTTACATACAGTATAATCCTTTTAATCTGTTTTCAGTTCACTCTTTATAAACACTGGCACATACTTAATGTATAACTCGTAACTCTTGCAAAGTTAGCTAATGTATATTTTGTCGTCCTTGTGAAATTATGTAAAAAAAACAATTAAATGGAGAATCCAACACTGATGGAACAATCGATTGGCTGGCTGAGAGTGTAAATGGCCAGTTCTCAGCGTGATCACTGAGATTTCCGATTCTGTGTCGATCAGAATTAGAGACAAGCACTTGGTGTACACACAAAAAAAATAATAATAATAATAAAACACACTAAGGAGGCTCCAGAGGCACCTTGGAGAAGGGAAAACTACATCCAAATCTCCAACAAATAGTACACAATAAGGGAATTATGGCTACACATGAGGCGCATGCATATGTACAGTGTATCCAACCTGCGGTAAAACACAACAAATACAAACACACACTTCAAAAAGAACCGTGCGCTCAGCAGTATGAAATTCTTCTGTAACCTGTTGCACCTGTTTGTTTGGAGATGTATAAATATTGCACTTCATTGTTAGTTGGAGGTTAGAGTGAGGGAAAGTAAAATTTTATTACAATGTTTTATTTTTATTACAATTTAATTTAATTTTTCATTAAAAAATATTTACAACAATGCCTGTGCCAATTGCAGTTCTTAGAGTGAAAGAAAGTCAGAACCGGCAGGTAAGACAAAAAAAAAAAAAGGAATTCTGAAGCAGCCCAGAAAACTGTGATTGGTGCATCTCAATTATTTATGTATTTGTGTGTTACCTTGTCCCAGACCAGCTCAGCATTCTCTCCCTTCTCCTGCAGCTGTGAGCGGAGCTTCTCCACACTATGCTGAAAGAGCTGGCAGTAACCCCAAACACCCAGAACCTGCTGGTCCTTCAAACCTGGACCCGCAGCCTCCTCCTGAGGACACACTGGGCAACACAGGAACAATCACCATACTGACTGCATTATAAGCATTGTTTTTGCAACAAGGGAAAAATGTTAATGTTCAAAAGATATGCACAGTTCTGGACAGGGCTGCTGCAATTACCTGTTCCTGGCGCAACTTAATGATCACAATAAGATGTTCATTCCAGAGATGACACTAGACACTGGTGTTGCCCGTTTTTGACAGAGAGGGTCATAAAAATTCCATCATAATTTATTATTACCCATTGATTTAATTTGGATGTTTTATATCATATTTCATGGGATAATAATTAATATACAAACAAGCTTATGTGCAGCCACTTTTCATGTCAACACCATATTAAGCAGATGACTTTTTCCAGAGTGACACTGTATCTATTGTACATTAGCAGGTAAATATGAATACGGCAATTTTTAAAAATTAGACAATTACCATTTAAATATGAACAGCCCATTTACAAGAAGGTAGGCTAACTGAATTGGACTCAGCTGACCCGCTGTAACCCGCTACAGAGGTGACTGTCTTTAGATTTCTCATGGCCCTTAAAATTTAATCTGAAAGTTGAATCCTCTCTGCTGCCACACTGGAGACTGGACTTGCCAGCTCTGCTTCAGTCACAGCTTTGAATTTGGGAAACATTTCTCTCTAGAAGTGAGAACGTGGTTCCCTGATCTTGACACATTCACTTCATCAGGAGGAATCTGCAGCATGTGCTCCTTTTGCACCAGAGGCACAGCTGCACCACTCTGTCACTCGTAGTGGTCACAGATGCTCTCCGTTGCTTGCAGTCCATGTCCATGGCTCTGCAACATGCTGTCAGCTCCCAGAAATCAGGGGTGGGCAATCCCGGTATTCCTGTTTGACTGAACACACCTGATCAAGGTAATCAGCTGTGGTCAGGGATAGTTGGGAAATCAAGCAGGGCAGAGGCCCTCCAGGATCGGAATTGCCCACCCCTTCCCAGATAGCAAACTGTGGTGAATAGGTCTTGATTATCCATCATCCAGCTCTTTCCTCGTTTTTCACTTTGTTTATCAACGTCATAGCAGTTACTGGGCTCTTTAGTAGCCTAACCTTCAGTTAGTGTAGCTCAACCTTTGTGTTCCAATTTAGAGTTTTCCTTCATTATTAAAAAGAATTCCGGCAATGACAAAATATTCAGTTAACAGAACCATATATTCAGAGTAGCCCTGGGATAACGACTCAGGAGTGGCCGCGTGTCCTTACCATGACTGTACCAAGTCAGAATGTCTAATGTGCCCTAAACACTAAGTCACTATTCACAGGTACGCCATGGCCTGTAAAGCCTATAGCGCTCTAATCTGTCTATGTGTGACAGACAACTAACATCATTTCTCACATCAATATTTAAACAGACATACCACTGTTCTCAAGCTGCTGCCAGTCCAGAGGTGTTGGAGCTTTCCTCTTCTTCCACAGCTTGTCCATGGCCAGCAGGTACATGATGTCATCTTTGAAAAGCTGGAGAAGGTGGCCAATCATAACCAACACCATTAGGCTCATAGTGGTAACACATTAGCACATTGCTGCTAAAAGCAACATTAGAAATGCAAAACAACATTTAGACAACTTAAAAATGCAACAAAGCTTTTTACAACTGTACTGCAAAGTGTCTTTTCCTGCTGTATGTTGCAGTAAAAGCACAAACTTAACAGACTTTTGCTCTAGGAGTACTGACTCCCATTTATATTTTGTCAGTAGCAGAACATGCATATTTTATTACACATCAGCTTGCAGAGCCTGATGAATGAAACCCTCCTACACTTACCATGTGTCTAACTCCACCTCATGTAAACCTAACTTGTAGAACTCTCTATAATCTAATCCAAAAATATTCAAACCAATCACAAGATGTTATTCCCTGCCACCAATAATGGTGGAGACAGTGAATGAAGCTATGGAAGAATTTCACCACATTCAGCTGGTCAGCCTGTAAACAGCCCAGTAATCAATATAACATGCAGTACTTCTATTTAGATGTAAAGCTGTTATTTTAACTAGTATGTCAACACACACAATTATTTTTCAGTGTGAGTATACTGCCTGCCCAGAGACTGATACATACTTGGCCTAAGAAACACGCAACAATGTGAAACACAATGAGCATTCATCACATTCTGGCACAGTAAAGTACCATATGTAATCTAAATGCTGGATTACAAATAAGCCGTTCTGTATACCAACGTGTATCCCACACGCTTGCCCAAGCATTAAAGGCATCTGAAACAGCCCTTTTACCTTGTTGAAGAGTTTGACGGGGTCATATCCAGTGGAGCGGGCCCATTCTTTGGTGGAAACACGCTTGATGTCCCCATCTTTTTCTGAAGCTGAGGCACGAGCTGCAGCCTCGTCTGGGTTCCCTGTATACAGAACACACATGTTTCACACAGTGTAGCATGCTATTCACTATTCAGCCTGTTGTGTCACAGATGGAGTGAAGACGAGGTGAAGAAATGCTCATCAGATCAGAGAACTCAACAGATATTGTGAAACAAACGCAACGGCACCATCTCACTCACATGCAGCCTCTGGGTCGGCTGTGTCAGGTGACACCTCTTGATCTGCATCCTCTTCTCCAAAGAGTTGACTGTAGCGGCAGACAATGATGACATTAGCGTACTGACCTCTAGAGTTTCTCGTGTATTATAATAACATACTGTATATTCTACATCACTATCACATGTGGCAGCCAGTCTAGAGGCCGTTTACTGTCCAGTACATTTTCACTGTAGTCTACTTGAACACTGCTTCATTATAATGTGAATGAGCCTTACTTGAAGAGATACTTAGCCCAGACAATGCAATGTATGGGCTCAGATGGCGTGTTTCTTATGGTGCATCCTGGGAAGGTCTTCTGGGTAGGCTTAGGCTGGCACTCATAGCACTCTGTCACTCCCTGAGGGAGGAGAAGAGGGTGCAAAGGTAGGAAAAAAAAATGAGGAGCGATACAAAGTGAGGTAAGATACTCAAACCTTAAATAAACATGTGCAAGAAAGCAATACCTTTCCTAGACAGGATATGAATTTGGTGGATTTTAACACAACCAAAGTGTGCTTGCTCTACCTTCTTGATGACTGTGACTTGGCCCAGGTATCCAGCTGTGCCACTCTCTATCAGAGGGATATCAGCTGCCAAACACATCCTGTTCACATGGTTACGGGCAGCTACGAAAGAAAAGGCGTTTCATTTTCCTAATAATTCCAAAGTGTTGGCTGTTAGGAGTAATAAAAACAATTCTTAAGTATTTAAGGACACCTCTGTTATCCAGGGCATTCATCACCAGTGCAAATCTTCTGAAGAACTCCACATTGTAATCAGGGCTGTTGGAAAGATAAAAAGATTGCTGTTCCTGGGTTCCATGTCAAAGAACAAATACAGACCTGCCAACCTTGAATAAACTCTTGATGTGACACATCAGTGGGGTAATTTTTATCACATGTGGACCGACGCCAGTTGTCCCGGTGTGAATTAGGGTCAATGTTTGGACAGAGATTTCAAAACAGAGTTGTAGATGGATGACAAATTGTGTCTTAGTCCAACACCCCTGTTTGGACAAAAAATAGTGTCCCTGACTCCTCTCTGAAACTAGCGATGTTCTCTGGAGAGGATCTGGACTCAAAAAGAATGTCCTTTGTCCTTCAGGTGGAGGTGGACTGCTGACTCTGGTCCACTGGAGTTGGCCCTCCTGTGTTGGGTCATGCGCTTGTGCAGCGGCTGCTTAGTTTCACCAATGTACAAGTCGTTACACTCCTGACTACACTTAATTGCATACACCACATCACTCTGTGTCTCTGTGTTTTGTCCTTCGGGTGGATCGGTCTCTGCGGCAGGGTGTTCCCTGGTTTAAAGTTGACTGGGATATTTTGGTTGCGAAAGATCCTTTTTAGCTTTTCTGATAAACCAGCCACTATTTTTTTTCTACGCTTTTCCAGCTTACTATGACCTGGATGACTGAGAATCTGCACAGACAGACTGCAGAATGCACACCGAGGAAGCCTGGAGATTGGCCATCTCTCCCAGTAACTTTCTAGGAACTTCTGCAGGGCATGTATTCACCTTTTTTTCAGCTACAAAGCACATTACAATTATGGGTTTGCTACAATAAATTATATTATGAATTCTATGAAAAGGCAATACACATGGGCAATACAACAACTTACTTTGCCAACTTAAATGATTGGTGAACAAACAGGCTAGCTTGCATATAGCTATACATACATAAGTTAACTAAAATCACAATCTGAACTTTCCACATCTACCCAGTCAAGATACCTCTGTAAAGGAGTTCAAAGAAAT